CATATTATGGGACACGTGTCTGAATTTAGAATGTTTCTGTGCGAGATACCATTTGACCATATCTGTATGAATATATAAAAAGTCTTTAAGATTGCACTGTCCTCTGAAACTGAGCCCAGCAGGTTTGTTCCATATTCTATAGCAACATATTTTTGAATATCCTTTGTCAAGAGAGAAAAAAAATCTTTAATATACAATTAATAAAACTTAATATAATTTAAATTTAATGTATTTAACTGAATTCACTTTTCATAAAAATAAGGTAAATTTCTTTATTTTCATTGCTGTGTTTTTTTGTATTTTGGAAGAAGAGCCTGTTAAAAAAAAAAATGAAGCAGCAGTGAATGATTCAGGAACACTAGTCAGAACAATACTGGAAAAAAGGCTATGACATGAAATTAAAACTTAGAATTAGCTAATTCCTTTAAAAGGCATAAAACATTTTATGCATTCATACAAAAAATAATGATTCTGCATAAATTTAAGATTCTGTAGGGTATTTTTCAACTGAGAAATTCCCCCCACCTCTTCCTTAAATTTACTTACAGGAATTCTCCTATCCCATGCTTTGTTTTACATGAGGGAAAAAAACCAAAGACAACTTAGTGTAAAGGGGTATGATTTCCAGAAACTTGAAGACATAAAAAAATTGAATTCTCTTTCAAAACTTCCTTTAGGAAGTGTTTTGGGGAAAAAAAATATATGCAGTTATTAAAAATAAAATTGCTCACTGAGTTATGTACAAACATCAACAAAAATAACATAAAATGAGAAATGTATTATAGATATAATATTAATGAATGGTAGTTATGCAATTTATTTTTTCAGGAAGTAGACACTTCAAATACTTTTACACATATATAATCACATTTTGAAGATTGTGGTATATTATTGGAGAGGTTTTAAACGTTCCACTAAAATATCTTATTTCTCATTCTATGGTAATTTTTTGTTAAGATTTCTACCGTATTTCCTATTATTATGTTTCAGTTATTGGGGAAAAAAAAAATACCACCCCATTTTTTCATCTAAAGTGCTGTTTTTCTAAGTATTGTGAACATTTATCTGTTTTTCAGTTGCGGAGAGAAAAGAAAAGCACATTTGTGTTCCTTGGTTCTTTCTGTTTCCTCCTTGAAAACCTAGAAGGGAAGTGCCCTGTTTGCTTTCTGAAGCAAACATGATTGATGATCTGTCACAGGATATATGATATGACAGGAAGCCAACTTAAGAGCAAAAAAGTCTCATGCATACATTTGTCCATTGTGGTAGATGAATTTGTGAAAGTTAAGGTTGCAGAGGTACAGCTGGCTCTCCACTGCAGTAGACAGCAAAACCCACTTCCCCTTAGAGGAGGAACTTAGGAACTGTTGCCTCTTAGATCAGTATTCAAAGCTAATTTTTTAAATGTACTTTTCACGTGGGGCTGAACAAAGAGTGCTGATAACCACAGTGGTGCTGATCAGTACCTGCCAGTTGTTTTCAGAAATACGCAAGTCCTTACTCAGATTTTTTTTTTTTTAAGTCAGATTCAAGTCACTGTGCATTTTCAGTAATTTAACCCGTGTTAAATAGTAGCTACACCACCAGTAACTTTGGTCACAAATGAATAAAAGACCACGTATACTACAGTGAATGAGTAAAATTATGCTTCTGACCCACAGGAGGGCAATGTAGCCCTACTAAAACAAAACCAAACCAAACCCAAACAAAAAAAACCCAAGAGCGTACTACCCTCAGAAGGTTGGCTATTTTTCTTGACACACCAGCACTGATTTATACAGCAAGCCATCTTTAGACTTCCATAGTTTTAGAGGAAGACAGCACTGTTACAAGCCATCCCTTTTACAGGAGAAGGAAATAAGGCAATTATCAGGAACCGTTTGCCAAGCTCTGTTTCATACCCCAAACAAACATTAGTGCTCATTCTCATACCACTGAGATGTAACTGATTTAACT